TCTCTATCTATCTATCTATCTATCTATCTCTCACTCACTCAAACACACACACAAAAACTCCCCTACTCCGCGTTCTACTTTACCCGTGCAGTCGAATAACATGAACAGATGTAAAATCCCGTCCGCGGAAAGAACTCCTACCCACTGACGACGCCTCCTTGGCCCGATCGAAACGTTCCCCCCAGAAAGATGACACCTGCAGATACCAAGTAAGACATCACAACCGCAAACCACAAAGGACAGCAATCCCAACGTTTTAGAGGAATTTGTCTCTCGCACGAAGAGCAGCAGAGCAGCAGAAATCAAATAGTATGGGGGAATTTTTTATTTTATATTTTTAGGTGGGGGTGGGGGGGCGGGGGTGTAGGGGGAGTCTTCTTCACATACACGAAGCGCCAAAAGCAGCCAGAGCAGAGATATATGCCATCAGCTTCGAGAATACCTTGCCTACCTGCTGTACGTGTATAGTCACAGAGAACTGCCCCGGGAACCGTATCCCGTCGAAAACGAGACAAAACACTGTTACGTGGGAGTTTTTGTCCGCAGACTACCGTCTTCCCCCGAACACAACGCACCCTCATTTTGGCTGTATCTGGCCGCAAATATATATCGTATACATTCACTTTTAGGGTGCGTTATGTTCGGGGGAAGACGGTAGTGATCGCGAAGTTATACTGTACGAATCTAATTAAGAGCAAAGACGTTTTTTTTTTTTTTTTTTTTTTTTTTTTCCGGCAGAAACAGTGCCCCTTCTATTCTGGGGACTATGTATGTGAAGAGCAAAAACGTTTTTTTCCTTTTTTTTTTTTTCCTGGAGAAACATTGCAACTTTCTATTCTAGGGGAGACAATCCGGACTACGCATATGAAGAGCGCATACGCTTACACATACACGTATAAATGTGCATACTTCCATGTCTGTATTAACGAATGAATATACACATATCACAAGTCTAAATACATGTATAATAAAACGACGTATACATTACTAATCATATACGCCTATACGTTTATTTTTATAAATATATATATATCGAGATCACAAATGGGTGAAGAAGCGGTGAGAGTACATATCCTGTGACATAAGGACTCGCCGCACGGCACACGAAACGAGAACCGAAATCGTGTACGTCGCCGACAAAATGGAACGATTCATCCGTTTACTATAAATAGCAACGACGAATGTATTTCGCCACCTTCTGCGGGCTGATACACTCGTTTCTGTTTGCACCGTGGGGCGACGCCCATACTTAGCGTATATGCACATTCCTGTAGTCAAAGACAACTGCCGGTGAACAGTGGGCAGAACGTGGGAAAGGGAGGGAAGGGGGGGAAGGGGGGGAGAAGGGGGAGGAGGGGAGGGAGGAGGGGAATTCGAAGTGTGGTTGAGTGGATTGGCACCAGCGTGGGTGTGTGGAAAGGTTAGGAAAGATGGATGGTTTTGTGGAAAGGGATTTGAAGGGACCGGGTGGCTAGTATGGGGAGGGCGCTCGGGTGGTGGGAGCGATCCTAAGCGTTCAATTGCTGCAACCATGCGATGAAGCATAGATTTCTGGTTCCTCTGAAATGAGTCTTGATCGCGTTTAAGCCTGTTGAAGCTCATCACCAGGAGTCCGACATTAAGAGGACTGATCGTGGGTTCCGGCTGGGTCGTCTGTCGTCCAGCATCGGGTTGCACAGGGGAACCGCCTTGAAGCACCTCTTGACCACGCTTCTTCATATCGTCGTTGCTAATCCTGATGCCTCCGTCCTTGACCTTCGGTCTAGCATCGACACTCCTTTCGTCCTCCTTTTCTTTGCCTTTTGCAGGATCGCGCTTGGGGTCGACTTCTTCACCCTTCTTCTTACTCATGGTTGCGAACTGTTCGGCGAACAGCTTTGCCGAGCGAACTTCTTTAACCGCTTCCTTCTTCGCCTCATCGTCCCGCCTCTTTTCCTCTTCTTCCTTGAACTTGGCTAGTTGCTCTTCTTTCAGCTTCTTCTCCTCGAACTCCCTCCGTTTCTCTCTCTTCTCTCGGTCGCTGTTCACCAGTTCTCGGTGCAACGAAGCGATCTCACCTTGGTTGCCTCTAAACTGATTGTTCCAACCGCCACCGCCACCAAACTGCCCATTAGTGGTCCTTGGTTGATACGGCATGATCGCGTTGGAGACCGTCGGAGCAGGTGAAGGCGATCTCGAGTTGGAGCTAGATGCTCCAGCGGATGGTGTTGTGTTCACAACCTGCTGCGCCAGGGCCGCCAGCGGGGGAGCACTTGGCGCGTATTGAGGGTTCAAAACTGGAGGTTGGCCAATCGATGTTCCAGAGATCCAGCCATCAACCCGGCCAAGCAGAGGGCACCGGGCGATGAAGTGGCCATATTGTTTGCAATAGGCAGCATCCATACGGGGTGGAGGATCCCGACATGTTGCTTCCACACGTATTCCCCCGACACTCGCACGGGGTAAAGACAAGATCGAAGGTACAAAGACACGATATGGAGCTTAGTAGCACCGCTCGAAATCGCAAGATAGAAAGCACATTAGAAGTGGTCGAGGGAGGATAGATAAGGTGTTGAAACAGTGCGTAGTAAAGAAGAGCGAGATCACGGGATTAAGATGGTGTGGATAGGGATGGGAGGTACCGGTCCACACACAAAGCAGTGGTATTGCATTGAATCACGCGCGCCAAAGTTGAGTGCAAAATACGTTTCCACCAATCCAGGAGATAGCGTAGTGGTTAAAGCGGTATTAAAATCATTGGTAGGGAGGAGGGTACAAGTATGCACGATCCGCGGACCAATCGATAACAGGCGGCACAGCCTCGAATGGCAATACATGAATGTGGCCAATGTATGGGAGAAGGGAAGAGAGAAAAAGAAGAAGAAGGAGAGAACCGAGAGAGACGGAGGGAGATAGAGTGAGTGGAGGAGGGGAGGAGCGACGGAGGAGAGAACACACGAGTAATATCTTGGCGCAAAAAAAAATCGGGAATTCGTAAAAATAGAAGTAAAAACACCAATTCCCGTGCGGACGTCCCTACGCTGCATTTCGGCCGCTTCCGCAGACGGCCATCATCAGGGGACTAAAGCGCCTGAGAACTAGCGTGTTCGAATGCCATTAAATAGGGGGCCTCGAGGTGAGGAGACCGTACGGGCCAAGCTAATAGAAGGAACTCCTGTAGAAAATTCCACGTACCTGGTCCAAGAGCAGCACACCATACAGATACATGAGTGACGGTGTTATTGGAGCAAGCTGCAGGCACTTACATGAAGCTTAGCCAGAAGCCTTTGAAGAAACATGTCTGGCAAACGACAGGGGCTTAGATCGAGGCTCCGGGAAGGATCAGACGAGCGTCAGAGGGGGAGGGGGGGAAAGAGAGAGGCGGCGGAATGAGGTGGAAAGATGGGGAGGGGGAGTACGGGGCAGGTCGGGGAGGATGGATGAAGGGAGATCGTGGTATGGCGGGAAAGTGGAGGAAAAAATGGTAGGGAGGGTGCAGTGTGGCGAGTGGTCATGGCGTGACAGAAGCGGAGCCCGATGTCAAACTTCAGGCGTCGCCCGTTCTGCTCAAAACAGGATCCGGAAATCGAGACTGGGGTCAGACCGTGGCGGTAAACAGATTGCGAAGGTAAGCAACAGTGCAGGCGAACGAGGCACAGCGTGGTACTTGTCATAAGACAAACAACAACAACAGTACGTGGTCCTGGCATAGGAGAAAACAGCGGTGTGATGGGAATAAAGTCGGGGATAACACAGTTACTGTAGAGAGGGTGCTGTTAACAGAGTAGGAACGGAGACCCATAATATGTAGATCAGGAAGAGGGGAGCACTTAAAAAAGGCTGTCGGGGAGGCTTATCAGAGGCCGATTGGTACCTGCCATAGAATCATTGCGGTGCCTACTCCCGAGTCCTACCCTGAATACCTCGACCCAGAGGTCCCAGCAGCTGCCTTTTGAGGCTGAAAACTCCGATAGTGTTTTGTCGAAAATACGGCTCGGGAAGCCTTTCAGTCGCAGTTCCCGTCTCAAAGTGGCCCAGCGCGAGAGTCCGAAGCTGCTTGGGTGAAGCGAGGTGGTGACGTTGCGGGCTTAGTGAAAAAAAAAAAAAAAAAAAAAAAAAAGCTTGGCTGGTCTCATCCGCCCCTACTGCTCCTGGCCGTGGGGTTATGCGTGGTTCTACTGGCGTGCTAAGTTGACAGTGCGTTGGTGTGTTGGTGCGGCGTGTCTGCAGGATGATGCTTTCACACCAGGTATGGAGCTTGATCAGCGTGCTGAATGCACGTTTGATCTTACGTATGAAGACTTTGTTATGATGCTGTTGAAGACGCCGCTTTAGGCGCAGACCTGTGGGATGCTGTTGAAGACGTTGTTTTCGGCACTGATATGCTGCGCGAGTCAGAGGAGCATGAAGAGGATTGAGCTAGTGAGGTTTTGTTCGAGGTCTTCTGGTTGGAAACGTTTTTGCCCATATTTGAAGATCGAAGACCTTCTTGAGAGGAACTTTGGCATACATCGTTTGAGGGCTACTAAGGTTAAGTGTATTTTTAGTAGTATTGTTTCCGAAATTGCCGGGTTGCGTTGTAGACTAGTTTTTCTGCTATTCTTGAAATTGCCTGTTTCGTTGACTTGTTTTTTTCGAAGTTTTGTTTTCGAATTGGAGTGTAGCGTTTAGATTATTTTCTAGTCTGGGTTATGTGTTTTGTGAGGTTTGGTTGTCTAATCTATTATGTAGGATTTTCCCTTTCGATGTGTGTCGTTGTGTCCTTTTTATGGCTCCTGGGTATTTGGGGCATTGACATGCCTCTTCCTAGGTTAACGGTGGCGTTTGGCTAGATATACCTTCCTCGAACAAAAGGGCTTTTGTCTTTATAGGTAGGCAACCCTAACTCATTCTGTTGCCGCTGCTTAGTTCGATGCTTGATGCGACGGATCTTGGCCTTAAAATGCGGACGCATTGGAATTAAATAGGAGGGCGACCCTAATTTGTTCTGTTGCCGACGTTTCGTTTACAGTGGGGTAATGACGTGGAAATATTTTGATCCTTTGGACAGGTGTGTTGTGGTTGGTGTTCATAGGAATTTTTGTTATTTGACTTGGTTAGATATACCTTTCTCGAACTAAATGACTTGTGTTTTTATAGGTGGGCAACTCTACTTTACTCTGTTGGTGCTGTTTAGTGCAATGCTTGGTGCGTGTGAGGAATTTTCGTTATTTGAGTTGACGATTTTTATTTAGAGTATGTAGGAATGGAGATGGATTTCTTGGTAGGGTTGGTGTTGTGCTAGCTCCCCACCAATAGATGGAGCGACCAAAGGAAATCATAGTAGGGAGGGATGCTCTTATCACCCTACCTACCATGGTTTCAACGAGTCTTTAAAAAAAAAAAAAAAAAAAGGAGTGTGATGATCAGTGGTCGTAGCAGGGCTGGTGCCGCGTTAGGGTGAAGAGTGCGGAGACTGTGTGTGCAGGGATGGAGCTCTGCACTCCTGGTGGGGCAGGACAACCTGTCGTCCCTGTTTTTTACTATCTTGATCATCTAATCGCCTTGGGCACTGGGCCCTGTTAATAAAAGTGCAATTTCGGGGGGGGGGGGGGGGGGGGGAAGAATATGGCAGGAGTTTTTTTTTGTTTTTGTTTTTTTTCATAGTATGAAAGTTCTATCTCGAAAGTTAAAACTAGGGTCCGTGTATTCGTAGAGATACAGAATAGGGAATAGCGTAGAACATCTATGAACTACCAGAAAGGTTGAAAATGAGAATCGATTCACACTGAGCATAAAGGCATCGGCAGTTCAGGCATGGGTTGAATAAGTAGACTGCGGCCTTCTAGGGCATGAGGTTGTTGAATAGGACAAGAGAGAGAGAGAGAGAGAGAGAGAGAGAGAGAGAGAGAGAGAGAGAGAGAGAGAGAGAGAGAGCCTCGTTGATGAATGGAGGAAAGGTACCTACGAATCTGTGAGAGAATGCTCCTTGGTGTTCTGCTCACGAATAGGGTAAGCATATTACGTTTTGTTCTATGTGAAACGTGGTCTTTCTTGAACGAGTGCTTAGGCTGCCTTCAGCTTTTTCGTAGGGTTAAGTTGGATCTTTATGCTGCGTAGGTGAATGCTGGAAGATAAACTGTGAGCATGTGTCTGAAGGTTGGAAGTTCTTCCACTGGCTACTAGGGAAAACAAAGCTTTTTCATATAGGTTAGCTTGGAATTTTGGCACTCCCATCTTTTGGTAGGTGCCTTGTTCTCGCCTAGTTAGAACACTAGCCCGAAAAACTCCGAACATTTTTGATAAAGCTTGTTGATTAGTGGGACGATGTGTACACTGGTTGAGGAACAGCAGCGGCACGGACATTAGTTTCGAGGGTCTAAGGGTTAGAAGCCTTCTTGTGATAGGGCAGTGAAATAGATTTTATTTAGCTTCGCAATTACTACTTTGATTTCCTGTGGCACTGGGATTGCTTATCTTTGGTAGGCGCCTTGGGATGAACAGCTCTGTTGCCACGTACAGAAGGCAGTTGACTTCCGTATTGCTCACCTGGGTGGAATGCAAGCCTGCAAGCTTCAGGCAGTGAGACAGAGCTTTGTTGAAAATTTGTTGTTGTACATCCCGCGAGGAAAGTAGCGTGTGTTGATAGTGGAGTGGAACTGATGCACAAGAGAAAAAACTAGTGCAGATTTGGTCAGGTGAATGGAACAATGCATGGAGCCTTAGCGAAATAGCGGACCTGTTCTCTTTGTGAGAAGATCGTACATAGGGTTTGTGCAAGCTTGGTGGTTGAAGTGCGACTTTAAGGGACGCTGGACCCGCTTTCCAGCACGAGCCGAAGCTGGGTAACGGCCCCAGTATCTCCAGGTAGAATTGTGAGGACCCCGGCCTCTGAAAAAACGCCTTTGGGGGGAACAAGAGGGTCGTTGAGCTAGCGGTCTCGAAAAAAGGAGACAGGCAGCTCAACGGAAAGTGGTGAGGGTAGGGGGAGTAGTATTCGAGAGAACGGATTTACTTCTGCTTTTTGTTGTAAGAAAAAGCAAAGATAGTCTCTACTGCCTTTTTTTATTAAAAACGGACCGCTAGATGACTTGGACGACGTGCATCTCCGTTGTCGCGTACTGTCACACAGCGTCGAAAACCCAACATTGGCCTAGCTCAATGGAGCTAGTGGGACAAGGTCCCTGGGCACGGCACCCCTTATATTACAATGCCAGGAATCGGGCCTAGCGTCCCTCACAATCTTTTTTTTTTTTTTTCTATACTCTTCTCTCAACTTCTGTTTCTTTACCTTCCATTACCTACTCCTAAGACTATCTAGAGGGGACCCCTGCAAGCATAGTTTTTCCTCTCTGTGAAGGGGAGATTTCATGTTGCCCCTTGTCCCTAATGGTTAGGGTATAGGGTTGGGGCCGCCAGTGGGGGTCTGCCAGTAGCTGTGCCTCCTTTTCTCATCGTCCCCCACCCT